CTGAGTCAACCCTGAGCCGGTGAGATTTGAACCGCTGACCTGCTGATCTAGCAGTAGCCTGCAGTGCTGCATTTAACCACTGCGCCACTGCGCCACTGCGACCCTTGGGGAGGGTCTCCCTGCCCAGCTTTCTCCACAGACCCCTGCCTCATACAGAGCAGCACCCATCAGTGGCGGGGGGGGGCGTGCGATCCCCTGGCAAAGAGCTCTCCTCATCAGCAGAGACGGAAGCAAAATCTAATTCCTCTCGCTAGGATTTAATTCATTTTCTGCCCAGCCTGATAAGAGAGGACCTGCCTCCCCCAATTGCCTCTCCTCCAGGCCAAACATACTCCAGGCCTCCCTCCAGACGTTCCACCCTTTGCCTCCTGCTGCAGTTGTGTCGGTTGTGATAGCGGGAGGGGGGGAGAAGGAGCAGCCACTTCTTAAGGGCCTGATCTGGGACCCCAATGACCTGGCCAGGAAGGGGCTCATCGACCAGGCTGCCCCCTCCCCAACTACCTTCAGGGCTGCTTTGGGTGAGCCCAGCTTTGCAAGGAAGGGAAAAGTTGAAGGCGGCAGGTCCCTAGGAAAGGGGGGGGTTGGGGAAGGGCCAGTGGAGCCAGGAGGGGTGGGAGATGGTCAGGAAACAGAATTTCAGCTTTGCAAAGATGCTCCTTTTTTCTGTGAGAAACATTCAGGACCTTTTGCTCATCCGCTGCGGAGAACAACCTGTCTCTGTCTTTTTTTGGAGGGGACAGACACTCTCTTTTGAATGGGGCGGCCTCCTCTCTCCTCTCCTGCAAGGAAAAGGCAGCCATTCAGAGGGGAAACGCAGAGCAAGACCCACAGGCAATGGGGTGGGGCTGCCTCTGGGGCCTTGGAGCGAGGCGGGGGGGGGGGAGTATCATCTGGGGCTTCACCCTTTACTCTGTCCCCCTACCCCCACAGCTGCAGTAGCAACTCTTTAACACCACCACCCCCTCAACACACCCAAGCAGACCCCCCCTCCCAAGAGAGGCATTTTTCCTTAGCTCAGTGACTTCTTGGCTCTGCTTGCAGCAAGATAAGCAGCGGCCCAGAAAGGGCTTCAGGGAGGGTCTTTGGGCCTCTCTTGCCCAGAAAAAGCTTGCAGCTTCCCAGGAACCCCTGGCTTGGGCAGTGGCCCACCTGGCAACAGAGCCTCTGAGCAGACGGGCAGGGACTGTCCTGGTGTGCCTGGCAGGACGGGTAGCCCCAAGAGGGTCTCCTCAATTCTGAACCGGAGCTCTGAGGAGACCTCAGTCCGTGGTTCTCCCTGCTGCCCCTGCTCCTTCTGCGTTTGGACCCTCGTGGGGCTGAGGGGGCAGTAAAGCCCTGGAAGGAAGCCCCCTCCCCATCCCTCTCTGCAGCTGTAGGCCAGGGAAGTGAAGGAAGCTCACCTGACTCTATGCAGAAGTGCCCCCTCCACCCCCAGTGGGGCCTTGCTTGAATTGGAGGCTGGCAGGGTCAAGGGCATCAGAGCTTCACCAGCATCTGGGGGCTTTTTTTGTCATTTAAAGATCCCATAATCCCTTGCATTTGGGTGGAGTCGGGGCAACCAAAGGGAGCTGAGTGTTTCTGGCCGGATGCCCTTCCTATCGCCATTGCGGAGTTCGCAGGAAGATATATTCTCAGTGCCCCCAGGGAGAGAAATACCTACCTCTACCTACGATCGAACTCACAGCCTCCTGATTGTGAGGTGAAAGCTGCAACTTTAGGCCACTGCACCAATCTGTGCCCTTCCAAATTCAATATTGCAGCTAAAAAATAACACAAAAATAATCCAGGTCCTGATTTTTAACAACCTTGTTTCAAAACCCCTTTGCAGGGTTTCCTCTTCTGCTTCTATCCAAGGCTGAGAAGAGGTTAGTCCTCAGGACACACAGGGGGATTTGAGCAGAGGGGTGTGTGTGCGTGCGCAAAATGCAAAAGTGGGCTGGTTCATGGGGAGGCCGAGCTCCCTCTGGTGCATCTGATGAGACCACAGAGCCCTCGACTCCCAGCCCCTTGGCTGCCCGGTCTGAGTTAGAGGGGCCCGGGGTCTCTCTGGCTTCCTTGGGCCTCCTTTTGGCCCTGAGCCTGTGGAGACCAGCCTGTCCAGCTGGATGGTCCCGACTTGGGTGAGTCCCGGAGGCCGTGTGGAGGCAGGACGAGGGGTGTGGGGCGTCTCCCCCTTGGGGAGTGAACTGTGTGGAGGGAGGGAGGCAGGGGGCTTTCTCTGAGGGAAAGGCTCTGAAGGCTCCCCTTCTCTTGCAGTTCCTCTGCCTGAAGAACATCCGCACTTTCCTCAAAGTCTGCCACGACAAGTTCGGCCTCCGGAACAGCGAGCTCTTCGACCCCTTCGACCTCTTTGACGTCAGAGACTTCGGAAAAGTAAGTGGGGCTTGGGGGAGGGGGAGGGGGAAGTGGCTTTTTCCCGGTTTCTGAACACCCCCCCCCCGAGGAAAATGCCTCTGAAGAAGGGCTGGAGAGATGAGGAGAAGCACCTTGCCCCCACTGCCCAGGAGACCCCTGGGGTGTTGGCAGCCCCTTCCAGCTACACCCGCTGTCGTTCATGCAGCTGTTGGCAACGCGGCCCCAAGCAGGCCTTCGGAGAGGGGCCTCCAAGTTAGGTGCAGCGCTTGGGGTGTCTCGCACAGAGCAGAATCCTCCCCCCACCCTGCTGCTGATGCTTGAACCTGGGTCTGGCTGCAGCCTCCATGTCCTGTGAAGGCTGCTGTTGGCGCTTGGAGAGACCCTGTTAATATGGAGGATCAAAGCTGTTGTGTTGCCTTCACCCTTCAAAGCAAAATCACAGAAAGTTGCATTGTTGAGTGAACGGAATTCATTTTGCAACTCATAGTAGAACAGCTGCAGTTATTCTACCTGTTGAGAAGGCTGGACGGCTATGGGGGAAGAAGTAAATCGTTGCCAAAGTAGCTTTTTCATGAAGGACCTTCCAAAAATCACAACTCTGTTAGGCGGGGAAGGACTATTTTGTGGTGGAAGGGAAGGGTGAAACGAAATGTGGCTGCATGGAAAGATTGCGGGCTCCCTCTCTGCCCATTGAGCTCCCCATTTCAGTGTGCAGCATTTTGGCCTGAGCTCTTTCCCCCGACGGCAGTGGAGACATTAGAGCTGCTGCATTGCAGGCTTTTTAATTTCTCAGGGGGGCCGTAGATGTAAATATATTTGCTGCGCTGGGATTTTTATGGTGGTGGTGGTGGGGCTAGCGAGGAAAAGAAGCTCAGCCTCGGTCTGAGTTTTCTTGTTGGGCAACTCGAACTGGGAGGGGTCTTTGTGTAGCCCACCCTCATTTCTCTTCTGCCGGACTCCCTGTCGGAACTCGCCTGGAGTTTTTTTCAGGGGAAAGCAGATGGGGGATCTGGCAATTGCAAGCGATGGGTGGAGGAGCTCACATGGGAAGAAGAATGAAGAGGTTCCCTGGCTGACTGCAGAGCGCTCAGGCTGTGTGGCTGTGGCTTTGCTGCTTCCAGCTCTGTAATAATGCTGGAAATACTTTCTCTCTATATTTTGTCTCTTGATTTCTATATGCCGGCGATGCATAGACTGAGTTCCCTGAACCACCATTTCACATGAGCTGGGCTGAGCATGTTGCACAACACAAAGTCACTCTGTCCCCAAAATGCTTGGAGTTCCCCATTCTTTTAAAAAAGGAAGATTATATTTATTTTCATTTGCTTCATGCCTCGACCAGAGAGTTTATATTTTCACAGAAATGTAGGTGCGGGTGTGAGTCCATTAAGCATGAAAAGGCGTTTCAGTTTCTAGGCTGGTAATGATGGGTCTTAAGCTGTTGTGCAGCTGACTGCAGTTTTCCAGGGCTGCTCACATCTGGTGTGTTTGCTTGGGCCTGGCAGGGCTCCCAATGGCTTCGCTGAATGAAGGGCTCATGGGGTGCACATTTAGCAGCTGATCCAGGATTTGAGGTCAGAGTCTGGGAGGCTGGGTAAAAGTCACACTTGACTTTCCGGTGGGTGAACATACCTGTAGCCGGGAGTCAAAGTGCCTTTGCCTGCCAACTAGTGGGCATTTAGAAAGGACCAGGTCAGTTCCTGCCAATGAGGGAAGGCAGAACTTGGCCCGCCACGGAGGCCCCGATCCCTTTGCCGAGGTGGCCTTCATGAGAAGATCTTCTTCTTAGACTGGGAGGTTTGTGCCCTGTGTAGTTGCACCAGGCTGGGGTGGGCGAGAGCACCTTCCCTGAGGCTGAAGGCTCCTGTTCAGCCGTATCTGTCACCCTTTCATTCAGCGGCCTCCATTTGGTCTTTAATGACTGGGATAGACTTGTTTTGAATTAGAACGGGGACAAGGCTTCACTCCTACGGCCATTGTGGGAGTCCCGTTGCTTTCTCTGGAAGTCCCTGGAAATGAAAGGAGGTCCTATTCCAAAGCTGGTGAAATATGATGGATTAGATTTGAAAACACGAGAATGATATATTATTCCCCATAGCAAAGGGAAGAAGCAGAGATGGTTAAACTGCTTCTTTTATCCAAATAAGAGATTGCATTTAATTTTGTCTCTATTTTGAAATTGCTTCCGGATTTTGTGTTTGCGATGAGGAAAAAATAATAATGAAACTTTGATTCTGTTTTTGTAAACAAGACAGGCTTATTGTTATAGAAATGGCTTGTACATAACTGTTGTGGGTTTTTTTTTATTTTTTTGCAAAAAGTTGTAGCTGTGCTGCTGTTGCCTTCTGCTGTGCTAAAGAGAGTCGGACATTGGTGCTTTCTTCTTTTTTCTTTTCTCCTGCTAACTACACCCTCTCTTTTCCCCTCTCTCTCATCTTTCTTTTCCATGTTTTTTTCCCCTTTGTATTTTATACTTCGATAAATTAATAAAAACGTTAAGAGGGGAAAAAATGAAATGAGGTCAGGCAGAGAATAATTCTATTGGATTTCTCTGCCACCCTAAACTGCTTGGGTGGGGGGCTCTTGCAGAGTGCCCCCAATCATGGTTAAGTCCCAAGACACGAAGGTCCTGCTGGGAGGGGCCTCTGGCTGGGGTATTCTTCCTGGCCCACCTTGGCAGCTTTGATGCCCTTGATCCTGATGTCTATGGAGACTCCCAGTCATCCATGATTGTCACCATCGTCACCCTGGTGCTGTGGTGTCTGTGGGATCCTCCTGGAGTCCAGGACTTTCCATCTTTACTCCTGGGTAGGTGGCCTCCTTCAGCCAGAACGGGGGGCTGGGGGGCTGCATCGTGTCCCTTGCCCTTTCAGCTCCTGCTTGGAGAGCTGGGCACGAATCCCTCGGGATCCCAGTTGCTACCATTCACAGTCACCCTGCCTCTGTTGGAGAGAAAATCGCAATGGGGAAGGAGGAGGAGGGCCTTACGCCTAGGCAGGCCTTCCCTTGGAGTGGGGCTGAAATTGGGAGCCCCTCACTGAGGGGGCTGGTGTGGGAATCCCCCCCCCCCGTGCAAGGTCTCCTGTTTGCAGCCCTGAGACTGCAGCCCCAGGCTACAAATACCACGAGACAACCTCCTCCCCATGGAAGCCTTGCCTGGCCTGGGGTGAAACATCTGCAGGGCCAGGGACACAGCTGAAGCAGGGAGAGAGCCACGGAGGCCCTCCCAGGCAGACCTCCACTCTTGCACAGTTGAGCAAGCAGGGACTCTGAATTGAGTCATGCTTCTCTAAGGGGGATTTTTTGCATCTGAAAATGGAAACATCTGCTTGGAGACTGATGCACCTGCTGGCCAAATTTGGCTGCTCAAAATGGAGGCAAAAAGATAAACCAGCTTCCCTCCCTGTGTTCTCTTTCTCTTAATACCAGTCTTTAAAGCCCTAGTGAGGCCACACCTAGTTCTGCATCCAGTTTTGATCACCACACTATAAAAAAGATGTTGAGATTCTAGAAAAAGTGTATAGAAGAGCAACCAGAATGATGAGGGGACTGGAGGCTGAAACATACAATGAACGGTTGCAGGAACTGGGCATGGCTGGTCTAATGAAAATAAGGACCAGGGGAGATATAAGAGCAGTCTTCCAATATTTGAGAGGCTGCCCCAGAGTGGAGAGGGTCAAGCTATTCTCCAAAGCATCTGAAGGCCAGTCAAGGAATAATGGATGGAAACTGACCAAGGAGAGATTCAACCTGGAAATAAGGAGGAATTTCCTGATAGGGAGAACATCAACCAATGGAACAGAAGTTGCCTTCGGAAGTTGTGGGAGCTTCATCCCTGGAGGCTTTCAAGAAGAGACTGGGCTGCCCTCTATCACAAATAGTGTACGGTCTCCTGTTTGGGTGTGGGGTTGGACTAGATGACCTACAAGGTCCCCTCCAACTCTGGTATTCTATATTTAATGGAACAGAAGTTGCCTTTGGAATCTCTGACCTTCCACACCAGCAATCTGTTAATCTTTCAAGACTATGAGATTATGATTTCACTGTTGAATACTTCATAACCGTGACATTTGCCAGACAGTGTCAGTTGCAGCCCCCCATCTGCGGAGCTGCATTGAGGAAAGGAAGAAGGAAAGGTGGGAGGCAGAGGTTTGTTCAGCCTTGAGAGGCAGGGAGATCCTTGGGCTGCCTGGCACAACGGTCGGTCCGCCATCTCCATCCCTGGAAGGCAAGAGACCTGCCGGGAGGAAGACAGGCAGGCGGGGGAACTGGCTGATTCCCCTCTTTGAGGGACTGGTGGGGGGACCGAGCCAAGGCAGAGGCAGGGGTGGCAGCCGTGGCACCTGGAGGGCTTTGGGTCTGCAGCTGCACCAGTCCTGCGGAGTTGACTGAAGGGTTCTGTGAAGGTGGCAGCTGTGTTCTCCCCTGCGGGTGGGAGGAGGAGGACGACTGGCGGCTGAAGTCCTGCCCCAGGAGCCTTGGACCAGGCAGGGTCTCTGCGTTTCTGACAGTGAAGCGATTCTCTAGCAGCTTCTGCGAATCTTCTGCTGACGTCTGCTTTTCACAGCTGTGATTGAGTTTCCAGTAGAAAGGAGGAGGAGGGTGGGAGGACGTCTGGGTCTGCCCCAGACCTGGACCCTAAGGCAGGACTTCCCTCGGGCAAGAGAACTGGAAGGAGAACTGGAGGACAGGAAAAGTCCAGGATCTGCCACTGGCTGCCAGCAGAACGTTTGGCCTGTTTATTGGGGGTGAGGTGGGTGGGGTGAGAGAGAGGGAGGGAGGGGCTGGCTGTGGATGATTGTCTGGATGATCCTTTCCCTGAGTGGCCCTGGAATTCCTGGGTGCGGCTGGCCCAGCAGCGACTGGCAGGCCTTTCGCTCATGGAGGCTCCCAGAGTTAAACTGCTCTTTCGTTGCTCTGAAAGGGGATATTTGGAGACTGAATGTGTGGTTTCCCCTTTTTTCCTTTTCTTTCTCGAGTCTTGAGTCTCGCAGTTCCCTTCTTTAACACGACTTCTG